TATCACCTGACAGCTTTATCATGGCGAGATGGCAGACTTGGGTATCATATGACATCATGTTATTCTGTGCCAGTTTTCACCTCCATGTTATGAAGTTCTATGACTTTAGACACCATGGTATAAATACATACTCAGCCTTGAAAACCCACTGGGTGACCCTGGGCAAGTCACATTCTCTCAGCCTCAGAGTGAGGCCAAGAAAACTCCATGACAGGTTCGTGTTTGCTATAAGTTGGAAATGGCTTGAAGACATGCAGCAACAAATACATACTAGAGCTCTCTGTCTAAGTGGTGGACAGGAAAAGATTTAAAGGTGGGCTTAAAGCCAACCTTAAAAACTGTGACATAGATACTGAGAACTGGAAAGCCCTGGACCTTGAGCAGTCTTAATGGAGGTCAGCTGTGTCCAGCAGTGCTGCAGAATTCAAAGACTCACAAATGGAGGGCAAAGGGGAGAAACATGCCAAAAAGAAGGTGAGTCTAGCCAACCCTGACCAGGACTGCCTTCCACCTGGAAACCAATGCCCTCACTACAGGAGACCATCTGAATCAAGAATAGGGCTCCACAACCACCTGCGAACCCACTGTCAAGACTTGGAGGACCATCATACTCGGGCTACAAGGGATTGCCTAAGTAAGTGAAATATTAGAGCTCTCTATCTGAGTACAAATACCTCATGGAACTACACGTTCAATGAGTTCATAAGATGCACCCTTGCTAGTTAAAAGGTAGTCTCAAAGTGAAATAATTGTGTAGTGAAAAAGGGATCCATACCTACAAGAACACATTGACAAGCTGATACCTGCAAACCCAGAAGATTCCATTCCTTGGTCATCAGTATGCCAGATAGGGCCAGAATTTTTTCCCAACCTAGCCGAAATGGAAATTTGGCTCTATTGGGGATATGTAAAATAATTTATAGAGAAGGCAAACTCATCTCCAAGCTTTAAAGCACAATCTTGGTTCCAGTACCACTGACAAATTAGCTGTCCTCCCCTCCTCTTGATGGGATGTCATTTACTGTGGAGATTGAAACCTTTCCACATCCCCCTGCCCCTGATGAAGTGACATTAGCAGTTTTATTAGTTTAGCAGAAGGTGGAGTGCAATGAAGAGACTCACACTTAATTGAGACAGTGCTAAATAGGAGTTTCGAACGAGCAAATTTATTTGAAAAAAAATGTATCATTTCTGCACAACAACTGAGTTCTTAAGCAAAGGAAGAGAGGGCTTGGGCTGGATGTTTCTTTTTTCATGTGGCACAGGTGGGTGTTACCATGGAATTCACAGCTGTAGTAGCCCTTGGTATTTCAGCGGTGGCCACTGGGTAGTCTGGAGTGAGGTATTCAGGTTTTGGGTTAGGATTTCCAGTTTTTGAAGGGTGTAAAAAATACATCTGCAAACAGTTGGAACTTGGTCTTGTTCGTTTGCTAGCTACCTAGATATCAGAGTTTTATCTTTGCATAGCACCAATAAGATATGAAGCCCAGAACCTCTCGTCTAACTCAGCTGCCACTTTGTGGAACATAGGCTGGCTGGCTAGACGTCCAAGGGTCCAGTTGTGCAAAGATTTGCGTGTGCGTTTATAGTTGTTCACATGGACCCAGCACTGGGTTAAGGAAGAAAGGGGTCCTGAGCTAAACCATAATCTGGGGTCCTATTCCTTTCTTCTCCTGACATAACATTAGGAAACAGCCCATCTTTCGAAATTTCAACAACTACTGGGAGTGTGTGGAGATGTTAGATGCATAGGGCTTGGTAATGTTACTTTTGGGGACCACAACACCCAAAATCCTTCAGTGACCATGCTGTTTGAAAAAATGGGGAGCTGTGGTCCCAAAAAGTAATTCTGCTCCTGAGACAAACAATACAAACAACGGATTGTTGTAGGTTTTTTCGAGCTACATGGCCATGTTCTAGAGGCATTCTCTCCTGACGTTTCACCTGCATCTATGGCAAGCATCCTCAGAGGTTGTGAGGTCTCCACCTCTGAGGATGCTTGCCACAGATGCAGGTGAAACGTCAGGTTAGAATGCTTCTAGAACATGGCCATATAGCCTGAAAAACCCTACAACAACCCAGTGATTCCAGCCATGAAAGCCTTTGACAATACAATACAAACAATGCCGATATATTAGTTTAGTGGGACTCAGGACCTCTCTGGCTGAGCATTTTAAACTACAAGCCCTAGGATTCTGCAGGAAGCAGCCACAGGATTTCAGATTGGATGCATGTTCTTTGCCTACTTTTTAAAACTTCTGGCAACCCATCCCATCCCATTAGGTAGAGTGAGGTGGCCCTAGGATGAGAGACAACAAGAATGGCAGATAATTCCTGCTCTCACAGTACAAGAGTATCTCTACTAACTGCAGGTAATCTGGAGAGTCATGTTCACAGTGCTACTCTCCCAAAAACCAGCAGTGTTTTTCCTTCACTCAGATGGCAGGAAAGACAGAAAAGGCAATTGCTCCTTTTCTTTATATTTAGATGCCACTGATTCAGATCATCCCACTATGACTGCATTTTATGTCCAGCCTCTTTTCCACTCAATTCCCTCCTACTATTCTGCTCTACTTGCAGTGCTGCATATATAGTGTCCAACACGCAGGCAAGAAACAGAGAAATGGGTAGAAAAATGGCTGCAACAGAAACTTTCAAAGCTCCCCAGCCAGCTTAACTTGTGACCATTGTGAGAAGTGTAACCTGGTGGGAAGTGCCTGCCTTTGAAGTTTCTTGATTCAGCAGTGGATGCACAGCCATGTGGAAAATCTCTGGTTTTAAACTGACCGATTTTAGCCATACTATATAGAGCTGCCACCTTCTTTACTGACCATGCTCCAACCTGATGTATGGATATTTAGCACTCAAAGCTGTTCCTTTCTCTTAATTTCAGGTGGAAGCTCTGATAGTGAAGCACAAAAACATTGGGCTGGATTCCTTCATGTCAGGAGCCCTGGACTTTGTTCTATAGCATTCTTAGTCTAACTTTAGAGTGTTGCTAATTCTATGGACCCCAGTAAGACACATTATGGTAGTAAAGTTGGCAACGTGCATGCAACTTTGCAGAATCTGGGCTTGTTTGCATATGCTCATGCGTGCTATGCGCATGATGTTTCAGAATCTGAGTGCACCCATTTGCATGTAATTCTGGAAATCGTGGACAAGTCAGAAGTCCCATCCCATTCTTGTTCATTGACCCACTCATGTCATAAAGAGACTGCTGTTTAGCAGAGACCACCAGTGGACCAATATATCTGCCACATTTTGCATGGCGCATGCTTTGCCATGTAAGCTAGAACTACGACCAGTATTTTCTTAGTTTAAGGATAATACTTATACATCTAAGAAAGCTCCTTCGATCTGGATGGATCCCAAAGTGCTTTACAAGCCTCTGAGCGACTGGCTGTTAAAACAAGAGGAAGGCATCAGTCGCTTTGCAAACACTGCTGAAGTGTGACCACTTCTGGAGAAAAGTGCAGCAAATCCCCGACGACTCAGAGCAATGCTACATGCTAGTTTTAAGGACAGCAAGCGAGGAGGAACACTACCCAATGGAAACTGCACAAGGGAATTTCAGGTTACAAAGCATCTAAATGACAGCTTGGGAGTTGATGAAGACGCCAGCACAAGTACATGAAGTGTCTGCATTTTGGTCTTCCTCTTTCAGCCTAAATGAGACTAAAGCACGTGAGAAATACCATGTGAAGAACAGCTCAGAAGGGGGAGAGATTAAGCAACCATAGCTAGGTAAAAACTTTGCTTTTAGATCCACCACTTTCATGGGTGGCTCAGCCATGATGGGTTTGATGGGTCATCTAAGTCAACCACTGCCGGGTCTTAATTTGATTGAGATTACCAATAGTGTTGTCAATCTTAGGAAAAAATAGCCTACTTCCATGCTTCTAATAGCAAATTTAGGTGGGGATCCCATTCATGACATATCTTGGCATAACCTCCCATCATGACAGCATAGGTACTTGTTTGGATGTTTTGCAAGGTGTCCAGTACACTCTTGTGAAATGAGCCTCCAATGTGTAACCTCAGCTTGATGTCATAAGGAATGCTTCTAGACATCATATAGTTGTATTTGCAGTCATGAAAAAGGAACTGCCATCATTCTCTTGGACATCTAGTTGTTCCTTTTACTCAGCGGCACAAATGCAAATGAATGCCACCTAGGGCCCTCCAAACTTTGGCCATAGGGTGTATGCTTTGGAACCACTGAACTGTGTTGCACAGAGGATGGCAGCAGAACCTCGGCAGGTTGCTGGTGGAAATTTATTATTTGTCAACAGTACCGCTAGATCTTGGCTCAATTCTGTTGGAATCAATAGATGAAGCTCTCCAAAGCATGGGATAGAAGCATGGAAGCATTTGCCCATCTGTTGATGGTTCAAATTGCAATTAAAGACATTAAGATCATTTGGTGGCTATTTGAGAATAAGTTGACAACCCCAGTGGAATCCAGTTGCCCCTGAAGATTGTAACTATACTTGCAAATAGTGGTTAATATTAACAGCGCAGCCCTAAAGGTAAAACCACAACTGCTCCCAAAAATCTTGGATCACAATAAGACAGTGCAATGATACACACATACCAATTACTGGAAAGAGGAAATTTCACACACCACTGAGAGGTGTGGTTTAAGCTGGCAGACAACTGCCATTTCTACTGCCATTTCTACTCTCAGTATGGTATCCTATCAGTAGAGATGGATCACCTCCCTACTGCTGTTATCAGTATCATTTGCTCTTTTGGGAAGATCAAGGTGTATCCACCATACAGAATTATAGCACTTTGATCCTATGAAATCCTGGGATTTGTAGTTTCATTAGATCTTTAGGATTCTCTGTCAAGATAGCTCTAGTACTGTAGTTAAGAAAGGGCACCAGGAAAATTTTGTCCTGAAACTACAAAACCTTGGATTGAGCTAGGGTAGTTAAAGTATCATGCTGCTATTATTGTGTTTTATGGAGACTTCAATTGTTTTTTTTTTCCAATTTGATTCATCATGCCCATCTTGGCTGCGGTCTCACCCATGTTATCCTACATTTGTCTCTCTATTGTGCGCTTGCATAAATACTACTTTTTGCAAAGGGAGCGCAGGAGCACATTCACCTAAGGACAGAAATGGCTAGCAGTTGCCCAATAATATAGTGCACGAATGGCTGCCACCCAGTCAGTCTGGCTTTGAAGCACAGCTGCTGTTGAGGCTGAAAGAACCACAGGTGCGTTGTTGATTTAAGCTTTGTCTCTTTCCTTTAAAGGGCACAGGATGAGGCCATTGCACCTCATCCTCTTAGGTTGTCACATCTTGCTTTGCCTGGTTGATATGTCATCCAGTCAAAAAAGCCATCATGCTGTTTTCTGTGTGTGCGTGGTGTGTTTTTCTGTGTGTGTTTTTTCCTTATGTATCCCTTCATTTTCTCTTTCTTGGATGTCGCTGTTCCACTGACATTATCTCCCCTGCATAGAGAGTTGTTTCAGTAAAGCAGAGGGCAATTGCTTGCCAACAGTGACGTGCTTGCAGATTTCTTGTTCTCTGCCCCAGTTAAACAAGAGGAGAGCACTTCAGATATTGCCTGGGTTTTGGTTTCTTTTGCCCCCCTGGACTGACTCCCACAGAGAAAAAAAAGCTTTGTTTTTTTCCTTTAAAGCCATTTCCTCTTCTTAGCCTTAATCATCACTTTATCAACCCGATAAATGTAATCGAGTGGAAGCAAAGGCAGCTTGTTTCAGTGGCTGTTGCTTGTGGGAGATCAGCACATGCTTTGCATGCAGAAAGTCCCAGGTTCAGTCCCTGGTGTTTCTGGTTATAAAAAGGTCCTTAGGTAGCAGGGCTGGAAAAGATCTCTCCCCGAGATCTCAGGGAATCACTGCTAGTCCAACAGTCTTGGGTTTGACAGAACAATGGTCTGAGGAAGAAGAAGCTGATGTGTACATTCCCTGTGGCATCGCAAGTCACCAGGCCATTTGGCTTCTCTTCTTGGCTTTGTCATCCTTTGTTCCAAGTTGCATCTCTGATGTCCCATTTTCTTTTCCAGAGCTGAAGAAGCCATGTAGAAGGCAGCACTTGGGAAATATACTTTCATGGACTACAACTTTTTTTAGATGACAATTATCTTCCTCTCATATAAATATGTGAGGGGAAGCATAGGGAGGGAGCAAGCTTGGTTTCTGCTGCCCTGGAGACTAGGATGCAGAACAATGGCTTCAAACGACAGGAAAGGAGATTCCACCTGAACGTTAGGAAGGATTTCCTGACTGTGAGAACTGTTTAGCACTGGAACTCTCTGCCTCTGACTGTGGTGGGGGCTCCTTCTTTGGAGGCTTTTAAACAGAGGCTGGATTGCCATCTGTCAGGGGTGCTTTGAATGTGATTTACCTGCTTCTTGGCAGGAGGTTGGACTGGATGACCCATGAGGTCTCCTCCAACTCTATGATTCTCTGGATGTTGCTATCTAAAATTGCAACATTTCCAAACTTTCAAATAGCATTCCTCTTCCAGAGTATCTTTAACAGAGGGTACTCTTGGAGGGCAAAGCAGTGGGATCCCAGCTTAGGTTTCCCCTGTCATCCCAGCAAATTTTATTTGAGGAGTCTACAAAAAAAGGTACAGTGCTGGCATTTTGCTTCTGCAAGAATTCACGCTGAGAATAGCAATGTCTGTATCTGGAGAGAAGGAATCCATGAGAAGGAGGTGAGAATCAGATTAGAGAATTCAGGAAGACAAGTAATTTATCCTATGCTGTGGAGAGAATATAGAGCAAAGTGATATAGCAGCACCCTCCTTCTTCTGGACTGCTGCACAAAAAAACTATTTGACCATTACTTAAACATTTGAAGATAGGTTCTGGCCACCTTCTCATTCCTTTTCACAGGATTTTGGGTAACTTGCAGAGATGGAACAGCACTATTTCGAATGATACTGGCCAATTGAAAAAAATGTTATAGCTGTTGGTAAGAGTTTGGAAACATTATGTTTCTGATTATAAATCCCAAAATTCCAGTGGGGAATTCTGAGACATGTCATAATCAAAGTAATTTTTCTAATCTCTATCACGAATATTTAATTCATCATCATTAGGTTGGGAGGGCAGAGCAACCACAGGCTGAGAGTGACTGGAGGGTTATAGATTGGTTTCCTCATCTCTTTCTCAGACTCCTTTGAAGGGAACTACTAAATGTTCTCCTAAGTCGGTTCTTCCTGCTTTGCCGAAACAGGCAGGATAATAAGCCCGCACACCTTGCAGCAAATATGCCAGTGCATGTGATGGATTGCTGACTGCAAAGCCATCCTGAGATGGTTTTGCAGATGAAATGAGATGTGCAAAGCTGCAGAGGGAGATTGCTAGGACCACGATTACTGAGACTAAAGTGGGTTGGAGAAAACAGAAATGGCTTAAAAACAGGTAACGAAAAACATTTTGGGTTGGAATTTGCACAGTAACATGGTTGTATGGACTGGCCTCAAGCATTTACTTGTATCATAGTGGTCTCTAGAGGTGGCATTTGTCACTTGTGTTCCAAAAGCATGTTGTTGTTATATGAGGAGGGGAACCACATGGAGATTAGATAGTCTATTTATAGCAGGGGTCCCCAAACTTTTTAAACAGAGGGCCAGGTCACAGTTCCTCAAACTGTTGGAGAGCCGGATTATAATTTGAAAACAAAAATAAACATGAATGAATTCCTATGCACACTGCACATATCTTATTTGTAGTGCAAACAACACTTAATACAATAATTAAAATGAACAATTTTAACAAATATAAGCTTATTAGTATTTCAATGGGAAGTGTGGGCCTGCTTTTGGCTGATGTGATAGGGTTGTTGTTGTTGTTGTTGTGTGCTTTCAAATAATTTCAGACTCAGGTTGACCCTGAGTGAGGGCCAGATAAATGACCTTGGAAGGCCGCATCTAGCCCTCGGGCCTTAGTTTGAGGACCCCTGGTCTACAGAATCAAGTCATGGTACCTCTGATTAGGGTGACTAGTTAGATGGTTGAAAGGAGTTATTTTTGCTGGACACAAGCCACTGTTACTCAAGCATACTGGCCTTCACCAAACTGTGCCTTTGGGCTCTTCCAAAGTTGGATCTCAGCCCCTAATTATATCCATACTGCCTGGGGATGGTTGGAATTTTAATCTAATGTTATCCTTTGTTTTAATATCTATTAGACAATTACAGTGTTTGGATGAATGGTAAGATACATTTCACTTCCATATTTTCTCTTTGATTTGTCGTCAAAACTAAAGCAACTGGTGGTGGTGGTAGGGATGTTCTTCCTCAAATTCTCAAAATGTCTGTTCTCCATCAATCTTATAGAATCCTTACAGATAATATGAGCAAGATTTCTAGCAGGCATCCTCAAACTGCAGCTCTCTAGCTGTTTGGCTCTCCAGCTCCCAGAATTCCTGACCATTGAACAAGCTGGCTAGAACTTCTGGAAGGTGAAGGCCAAACATCTGGAGGGTACCTAATCTATAAGGTTTCTGTAAGATATTAAGAACTCCCCATTTCAAACATACCTTTAAAAAATGGAACAATGAATTGGGTTGGTTTGCTTGTATCTTTGATAGGTGGCATTGGCAATTTAGATGGGCCCAAGGACCAGTTTTGTTTTGGCAGCCACTAGGTGCAACGTTTCCATTGGAAGTGTAAATTTTCCAAAATTGGAAATTCTTTGAAGTATAGTTTTAGTTTTGGGGAAAAAAAAGGTAAGGTCTCCTTTTCCAAACACTAAAGCAAGGGCAATGGCTGGGGGATTCTGAGAGTTGTAGTCCAAAGAAGTAAATTTTGTTGGTGAACTTTGCCAAACAGGACATTGCAGAGGGTTAACTAGGAAGAACATTGTTCTTGCATCATTACTGAAAAAGAGACAAAGGCAACGTGTTGCTGTCTAAAAAACAGAATGGCCACATTGTCATATCATGTAGTCAACATAGTTTTGTTGGTGTTGAAATCAGGTATATTCTTTTGTGCCAGACTAACAGGGATAGGATTATTTTCACTGACACCAGTGGATCTGTCATTTAAATCTTCAGCACCGATTTCTTCGGCTGTAGCCCTGCCATTCTAGGAAATGTCTTCTCTTCTTAGTGCTAAAAAGATGACAAAATTCTCATTGTCAAACCCAGACTTTGTGACTCTAGTCCAACCAGAGTGGATGCTGTGTCCTTGGAGTCCAGTATCTTCTATGCATTGAGCGACTGTTTATCAGGAAACTCTTCCCTATAGAATAGGCATTTATTTTTTGGCCTTAGTAGTTGTTGTTTTCTCAGATCATGGTAGACATACATTCAGATGAAGTAATACTGAATGCCGCCATATTCAAAGCACCTGTAGATATTAGGGTGTTCCATCTATACAAGCCTCTCTTGTGAGGTAGATAGGTGTGTCATTACCCCTCACAAGGAAAAGATACACTTTCACCAGATGGTTCCATTGTTGTCTTGAGGCTGTCGAAGTCAAGGTAGGAAACTGGTTGGAGTAGCACCTTAAATTGCTTAGCTTTCCATCATGGAAGCTTTTTGGAAGAAATTTGTTCTTCCAACATTGAACAAAAGAAAAACTAATGAAGACATATGTGTGCATGTGAAATAAACCATTGGAAATCAAATAAATACATTTTTGCAATGTCACCTTTTGGATGACAAATCCCAGGATCCCTACTGGCTATACTGGCTGAGTGATTATGGAAGCTGACATTCAAAAAAGGAGTGTTTCCAACTTCTGTTTTGGGCTGTTTCAGCACTTAGGCCCAAGCTAGACTTCAAAAGAAAACTTACAGAACTGAGGTGCTGACATTGTGACTGCAGCAGTCTCTGTACCAGCCTGCTGGTTTGGCTGCATACTGGACATGCACCTAATCTGTATTATGGTACATCTGAGTGGTTGCCAACACAGCTTGATTGGATTAAAACATTAGCTTCTAATTGTGCAAGGAATTAATTTGTATCTGCCTCTGATGTCAACTGCATGGGACTGCTGGAACATGAGTTTGATAACCTAACCACAGCACTATGCAGGTTGCAGAGGTAGAAACCAATTCTCACATTTGTGCCATGTAATGTTATAAATGACCAAAAGGGGTGACTGGAGAGGTTTGTGGTGGGGATAGGTGGGTAGGAAGGAATGGGACATTATCAATTTGCTTTGCTTTTTTCGTCCAGGTGCAAATTGTTGGCACAAAATTGCAACTGTAAAAAATATATAAGTTGTGAAAAAGTTCATGATGAAAAAAAAATATGCTGGTGTAAGATTTGAAGTATCCTCTGACCTGCAAAGCACACTTTGGGAACCACAGTACATATGGACAAAAGATGGATTTGTAGATGTCAGAACTTAGGACAGTTTAGACTACAACTCCCAGAATCCCCAGTCATCACACCTAACATGGAGATTCTGGAAGTTGTAGTCTCCCCAAGGAACTTTCCTATGCTCTGCTTCAGATTGCTATCAAATGTTCTTGTCTGCCCTAGGAAGAAAGGGGCTAACCCTCCCTCCCTTTCCTCTTGGCATGCTTACATTAGGTCTCTTGCAATGTTTGAGGGCAGAACATCCCCTGTCACATTCATAGTCCCCATTCCAGTCTTCTTCCTCGTAACGAGGACCATGACCTGCACGGTTCTCTTCAGACTTGGCCGGCAAGTAGCTCCATCCGCCAGGATTGCCAGGGGATTGCTCTTGGAGGTTGTGTCACGCTTCTGGCTGAGCCTGTAGCACCGGGGATAGTTACGGAAACATTCAAAAGTGTCAGCGCAGTTCCTGCAAGATCCACGATGGTCAGTGAAAGCATTGGAGAATCTCATGGAAGCTCTGCCATCTCGTGTGTGGAAGGACTGGAGGGCAATGACCCTGGGCCGAGTACAGCAGAAGACAGCGCAGAGAGCCTGCAACAGCGAGAGATCTTTGGACAGGTATTTATGGAAATTAGGTTTGAAGAGCAGATAAACCAGAGGGTTGTAGGTTGCTGAGGACTTGGCAAATGCAGACGAAAGGGCAAAAGCCAAGACGGGCACCTGGCTGACATCACCAAAAGCTGACCACAGGGCAACAATGGCATAGGGGGTCCAAGCAGCCAGAAACCCGATGCACACGGAAACACTGAGCTAGAAGAGACAGAGAGAGAATAACTAACATGAAAAGGCCAGTGTACGCAATTGATTTGAAATAAGCATACATGCAAGAAATAACATTTAGACAAAAAAATCAAATGCACAAACATAAGATGGATGGTGCCTGACTTGTGAAAACAACCTGTAGTTTTAGTTGACCATAGGCTAAACATACATCAAACAGCTTTTGTCAATCTAGGATAACCAACTATTGTTCCATTATAGGAGGAGTTATAGTCACCTGCATCTAGGCACACAAACTTAAAACTGTCGGAAACAATGTTGATTTTTTTTTTACCTAATGTCAAACCCAACTCAAAAGCCAGGCATATACATGAAATGAATCTAGTTAACCACAAGCTAAAAATGAGTCTACAGTCAGTGATGCAGCGGTTAACAGAAATAACGGAATCAAAAGCCAATGTAATTCTAGGTGGCATCAATAGAATAACAATCTCCTGATCAAGATAATTTATAATTTTAGGTTGCTGTGAGTTTTCCTGACTGTATGGCCATGTTCCTGAAGCATTCTCTCCTGATGTTTTCCCCACATCCATGGCAGGCATCCTCAGAGGTTGAGGGCTGTTGGAAACTGGGCAAGTGAGGTTTATATATCTGTGGAATGTCCACGGTGGAGGAAAGAACTCTTGTCCACCCGAGGCAAATTTGAATATTGCAAATGGCTATTTTGATTAGCATTGAATGGCTTTGCAGCTTCAAAGCCCAGCTTATTGCTGCCTGGGGGAATCCTTTGTTGGGATATGTTAGCTGGCCTTGATTGATTCTTGTCTGATTTCCCCTGCTTTTTGAGTGCTACTTTTAGAGTTTTTAAAATACTGATAGCTAGATTTTGTTCATTTTCATGGCTTCCTCCTTTTTGTTGAAATTGTCCACATGCTTGTGTATTTCAGTGGCTTCTCTGTGTAGTTTGACATGGTAGTTGTTAAAGTGGTCCAGCATTTCTGTGTTCTCAAATAATATACTAATCAATGTAGCCATTTGAAAGAGTTATTTTCCTCACCATGGACATTCCAGAGATATATAAACCCTACTTGCCTAGTTTCCAATAGACCCCTCAACTTTTGAGGTTGCCTGCCATAGATGTGGGTGAAACGTCAGGAGAGGATGCTTCTGGAACATGATCGTACAGCCTGGAAAACTCACAGCAACTCAGTGATTCCGGCCATGAAAGCCTTCGACAACACAATTTATAATACTGATCCTCATCCAGAATACTGTCTCCAGTAAGAAGGTATCAACCAGTTAGAATATATCTTGTGGGGGGTGATCAGGATACTAATGGGGCTGGAAACAAGGCCTTATTAAGAATAGTGGTAGATTTGTTCATTCATTACTCTTCCATATTCATAATTATTAAACTGTTATCAGGATTATAACCCACCCCCAGCTCCATACCCCACTTTTCTTGGTATCAGCTACATGAGGAAAAGGAGATCTATTCTGCCAATTGGAGTGTGGGTTAATGAAGTTTCTTCCAGGTTTGAGCCAAGAGAAGTTATTTAGTTAAGTATACTTGATTAGGTAGCTAATGTACAATACTGGCCAGAGTTCTTTAATGTATTTTTTCATGCACATTTATTTTAGTATAATACCTCTGTGTGTGGACAAACTATTTCAATGATCACCTTTCAAGAGTAATGGATGTAATGCAGGAGTTATTTCAATACAAAAAAAGATTTGCACAGATGGCATGTTTGAAAAAATGGTTTACTCTCAATAGTCATACTCTAAACCCCGTTTAAGGATTTCGTCATGCCACCCTGTTGTCTCATCACAATTGCATTGCCTACGTAAATGGAAACATGAAGTTACTAGAATAATCTATTTCAGTGTTGTAGTTCAGCCTTCGATTGTGCCTGCCCCTGATCTTTCTGGGGATTCTGGGCCTGTTAGTCATTCTGATGACACTGGAGATTCTGGGCCTGTAAGTCAGCAGAGGAGCCAGCAAGAAATTTTATGCCTTGAAAATGAGCAGTCTGTGTTGGAAGGCAATATTTCTGAAAGGCAGTTTACTAGGGAAGCAAGGTCAGGAGCAGATCTGAGCTCAGATGGCAATGAAAGTCTAGGTGGACAGCCTAATTATCAGTTAGATAGGAGATATACGTTCTGTCAACATAGGGCTTCTTAAGGGAGAGTACAAAGGTCAAAATGCTTTATCGGTTTCCCAGGGGAGATGGCATGATTTTCTCTCTATATTAACTAGCTCAGCAGACGGGCTCATTGTTCCAGGCAATGTTGGTATTGAGTAGAGATCCATGGTCAAGTCAAGGGATTTCTAGTTCCATGTTTCATGCTTCCTTTTGTTCATGTCTCATGATTCCAAATTGTGAGGACTGAATTTCATGTTTTGGATTTATTCTGCTTTTGTGTTTCTAGTTTTTGATGCTACTCCTATACTTTGATATCTGTGGATTATTCCTAATATTTGGACTGTGGTTTTTTAAAATAATATTTTGCTGAATTGCTTTTCATATATATTCTTCAATTAACTGCTTTGTTATTTTACCTCGGACTGGAGTGTGTGTTAAGGACAGAGGTGGTTCCCAGCCATGGAGTGCAACATTCACACCTTGGTGCAATTGTGCTATGTTGACACTTGGTTGATGGGAATTCCCACAATCACTCTTACACACAACCTCATCTCCTACCCATCTTTGCCCTACTTAGCACACACATATTGTATTTTTTCATATTTTTCTTAATTTCTTCCCCAATTTTGCTGCAATTCTAGAGGCATGCAGTTTTGGCATTCTTGTGAGACTTTCCTCTGCTGTGCAATACCAAAATTGCAGTGGAAGGAAATTATCACGGAGGGAAGAACAATACAACAACAGTGATATTAAATTCATAGAAGGGTTTTTCTTATCAGTGCAAAGGGAAGATCTAATCAGTCACCTTTGGGCTGAGAAAGGCAGTATACAAATACAGTAAATAAATAAAACAATGTGACTACAAGACAGCCACAACATTGTGTGGCAAGCCCCATCAACTGGTGCTTTTATCCTGCCATAACTGCACCTCATGTAACAAAGTCCTGAACTGAAAAGTCCCTGGCATTACTCAGAAGTCAGACAGCATAGAAGTTCAAATAAATAAATATCTGCATTAGTTGTCTGTAATTAATGAATTAATTAACTGAAGCAGTGAATTGGTGAGTGAACCCACGCTGGAGTTCCTCTACTTTTTAAGATAAGAAACCCCTGATCTCTCTCTGACAGAATGCTTGCGAATCCAGAGAGTCAGGTGTACGTACGGTGAAATTAAGTTGTCAAGTCATGACAGACAGCCATGCAACGTGAGTGAGCAAATCATCTCAGTGTAATAGAACTTGGTTACATTTTATCTTTGCCTGCTGCAGCGCATCTATCGTTATTTTATTTTTTTTTCTCTCACTCTCCCCTGACACAGCCTACTGGGAATCTGTGTGGGAGAAACAATTTCTAACAAATCTTCTTTGTTGAAAATTCTTCACATTTGGTTCCACAGGGGTTCCCATGGAACAAATCAAAATCACCTGGAAAGACCAATGAATGCATTCATACTTGGCGCACTCTGAACCAAGCACCACAGGGCTTGGAAAAGTTTTCTTTTTGAACTACAAATCTCATATTCTTCTAGCCTGGCTCGAAAATTCTTGGATGTATAGTCAAAAAAGGGAAGTTTCCCAAATTATGTCTGACTCTGAAGCAAATTGTTGCTGTTGTGCGTTGCGCCATTCACATCCCCCAATTGAAATTGATGTTTGTGCTCTAAATGCTGATCTTAGACACAGCTTAGTCTACCCATACCTGTACCACTTGAAATTCTTTTTTGAAAAAACTATAGCTATGAAAATATTTATTACTTTTGACTTGATTGTTGTGTTGTCTCATCACCTTGCCGTGTTTTGCTTCTCCAAGGTATTGAATTCCACTCCCAGATGAGCTCAAAATCTTAATAGCAGTGTTCAATTTTGGATTAAATCCCTGAATATATCTATTTCCACACAGTTGCCACCACTGTGTTGTGTTGAGGGCTGCCATATTGGTTTTCTCTTCTGATAGTTGTAGATGACTCCCATAACCAATATCTGTGATTTCACTCACCCACATCAGGGAGAAATGGTCTCTATAGGAATATACTAAGTCCTCCAGGAGATTCCATGCTACCATAGAATTGGGATGGAGGACTTAGCAAATTCCTCTATAGCAGTGGTTCTCAACCTGTAGGTCCCCAGATGTTTTGGCCTTCAACTCCCAGAAATCCTAACAGCTGGAAAACTGGCTGGGATTTCTGGGAGTTGTAGGCCAAAACACCTGGGGACCCACAGGTTGAGAACCACTGCTCTATAGGAATCTCCAAGTCCTTGAAAACAATTCTACGATATGCTAGAACTAAAAGAAAGGTAGTTTAAAGGTGTTTCAGTTAACTACAGTGGAGCCCCCAGTGGTGCAATGGATTAAACCCTCGAGCCAGAAGGACTGCTGACCAAAAGGTTGGCGGTTCGAATACGGGGAGCAGGGTGAGCTTCCATCTATCAGCTCCAGCTTCCCATGCAGGAACATGAGAGGAGCCTTCCATAGGATGGTAAAACATCTGGGAATCCCTTGGGCAATGTCCTTGCAGAAAGACAGTTTTCTCACACCAGAAGCATTTTGCCGTTTTTCAAGTCACTCCTGACACAAGAAAAAAAATTAACTGCAGTCTAGCTGTGAATGTATCCCACCACGGATATTGAAGGATGGGGTATTACTGTACTAACTTTCTTCCTGTATGGCCGCATCTGAAGGTGATTCTTGAAGAACTATTCAATTAAAATCCAACCACTTTTATAATCCAGTGCAACAGTACTGTGCTTTAAACACAGGAATAAAGTAGCAAGATAAAAGGCTCCACCTGTCTCTCTTCCTACCACCATAATGTTGTTTTACTTGATGACTACTGCTATTTTGCAGTTCCAGAGTCCATCTGAAGAGTTAGAAAAGCTTTCCAAACTAGCAAAAGTATCCAGTTTTCACCATTTGTTTATATGTACTTACACTCTGCTTTGATTCCAAGGAGCGCAAACAGCATGTAGCCATACCCACATTGTAACAGCAACATTGGTCAGGCTGATAAATAATGACTGATGGTGAGGGGTGTCAGGGATGACCAACCTATTAGCTTCCTCTCCTGCTCCTTCTACCAAACTGGGGTACTACCAATAGTTGTGCTGACTAGAGATGAGGAGGATGCTGGTAGCTGATTGATCATTTGGCTGCAGGAAGACACTGGAGGGGGCAAGTATTAAAGGTGATGCATTATCCAATGCAAGGAAGAGAGGATGGAGACTGTGGCTGAGCAAGAGGCACCAATAGCTGGTAGGCTTTGCCAGGGCACTGAGCCCCTTCTATTTACCCAATCATACCTAGCCTGTTTTTCTTTTCTAAATAATGTGGGTCAAATTCTACATCTTTAGTAATCAGTGAAAAGAATTTCTAAAAAAGCTCAAAGGCAAGCTGTTCAAAGTTATCACTCTTTGTTTTACTTGCTTCCAAAACTGGCTCCCTGGACCAAACTGGACCAAAGTTGTGCTTTGTTTCAAATGTTGTGCCTTTTAAACGGCAGATCTAAGGCCTGCCAGGAGTCTTTTTTCCCTTTGATTCCCTTACTAAGAACACATATTCTCAAACAATAGCAGATGGAAACCAGGACACATGTGGCTAAGCAACGTCAGAATGTAGTCAAGATGGCAAATGGCATTAGTGTTTAAGAACTGACAGCATAGGAGAGGCTGCATGACTTGCTTTTGACCGAGACTCTTAGGAAGAGCAAGACTCAACCTGATGCTATCCTATCCTTCCTGTTGAGTTACATGACTATAAGCTACTCCGGGACTTTTAATTCAGCTTGCAGCAACTGAGGCCCCTTCCACACAGCTGAATAAAATCCCACATTTTCTGCTTTGAACTGGAATACATGGCAGTGTCAGTCATGCTAGCCACATGACCTTGGTGGTGTCTACGGACAACACTGGCTCTTTGGCTTAGAAATGACCAACACACAAAGTCAGACATGACTGGATTTAATGTCAGAGCAAAAATATCTTACATGACAGTGTGGACTAAGTTCAAAGCAGATACTGTGGCATTTTCTGCCTTGATATTCTGGGTTATATGGCTGTGTGGGAGGGCCCTGAATTGAGGTCAAAGGGGGAAATGGGAGGAAAAAAGAGAAAATGGGGTATCTTTAGAGTTGCTGAAAAAGTGGGAAAACAAAAGATTAATTAGAATTATCCCGGCTAAAGTAGACCATGTACCATTGGAAGAGACAAAGGAATAAGGGAGAGCCATCAAACAGCCCAGGAGTTAAAAGCTTTCAGCAGGTTCTCTCCCAGGGTTTGGCTTCTACCTTCATAAGATTCAGCTTATTTAGCCCCTCCAGATATCTCTCTCTCTCTCTCTTTTTTTTTTTTTTTTACAAAAACCAACATAAAAATCTTTACAACTACAATAAAAACTATAGACATTCAAAGAAAGAAAAAGGTGAGAAAAAGGTGGGGACYGGACCAGAATACAGGTTGGAGTATAAACCAAAACAAAAGTGGCTTCCAATTTGGCTTCCAAAACCACATTGTTTTATTCTTCCAATAACAAAATCTTACTAATTGTCATAACCAGAAGTTACCAAGTTATTTTCTTTTTTTTTCTGCAAAAATATATATGGGGCTTCCAATCTTTTAGAAATGGCACCAATGATTTTTCTCTAAGCAAGCAAGATAATTTGCCAATTTCTATTAAATCAGTCAATTTTCACTAACTGGTCTYTCTAGGAATCCCTAGGTGCTCTGGTGTTATTCTATGGTCAACTTTTTGTGGAGGTTCACTTTAGAGTCACACTGAATGATCTAAAGCTGTGGTTCTCAACCTGTGAGTCCCCAGGTATTTTGGCCTACAACTCCCAGAAATCCCAGCCAGTTTACCAGCTGTTAGGATTTCTGGGAGTTGAAGGCCAAAACATTTGCGGACCCACAGGTTGAGAACCATTGATCTAAAAGTTTCCAGAYAGATGCTTTCATGTAAAATCCCCAAGAAAGTGAGGCCCTWCTATACTGTATAGAACAAGTTCAAAATGAGAAATTGCTTTACTTTTGGGAAGACAGATTCCAGAACCTTATTGCCATCATGATTGGGCATCCTGGGAGTTTTGATCCATGCAAATTCATGATGCTGATTTGGAAGTTCAAGGATTTGTAGTTGAAGTAACTCACAACATTGAGTGAATGCCCCCCCCCCACTCCTCTCTCTTTCTCTGTTTGTGTCTATATATATTGAGTAGTTTTTTTTTACCTTGACAATCAAACTGTGAACACTGTTGGCTCTACTCCGTGGGGACATGTGCTGCTTCACTGCTCTTCTGGAGACTTTCACAGTCCAAAGGATGAGTGAGTAAGAGATGAGGATCAGGAGGCATGGGATGATGTAGCAGAAGATAAAGAGGGCCATGATGTAGTATTTTGCTTCTCTGGTCAATGCTTTCCACTTGATGCAGCAGGCTGTCCCATACGGTTCTGGTCCATAACTGCCCCAGTCAGCTAGAGGAGCCACGGCAAAGATGAGAGCATAAGCCCAGACACATGCTAGCAGTGCACTGGCATATGTGGGAGAAAACTTATTGCCTGGAAAGGGAGGGAAGAAAACAGAAAGAGAGAGATCATTCCTGATGGTTCGAGCCTTTGCTGATAAGGAGATATGGATGCAAAGAATAGTTGCAATTATTATTTCCAAGGTTGAAAAAATGAGCTTCCTAACAGTCGGGAAGCACCACTGAAAAGACTGGGAGTTACCGAAAGAGTTTTACTCGGTTTATATTCTTTTCATATGATGCATTCTATGTCCTGTTTCATTCAAAATATAAACTTATATGTTGGCAATATTAATAGCAATGTGCCTGCCAGTATGAGTGTAAGTAAGAAATTTAAACCATTGTCTCCTGATATTCAAGATTCTGTGTAGTCTATTGGTTTGAGTGTTGGACTAAAGCTCTGGAGACGAGGGTTCAAATCTCCACTCAGCCATGAACACACATAGGGTTACCTTGGGCAAGTCTCATTCTCTCAGCCTCAGAGGAAGGCAATGGCAAACCCTCCCTGAACAAACATTCCTCTGATAGATACACCTTAGGATCACCGTAAGTCACAAATGGCTTTAAGACACACCACAGCAACAATACAAATGTCCCGAATGGTTGCACAGGAATTATCCTGCAAAAGAAAACAGATATGGGGCTGACAAGGGATGGGAGACTGGCAATGAAGATTAGGTCATAAAGAAACATTTCAGTCTTTCCTACTCGTGTGTGGTGGTCCTGATCCATATATAGCTGGAGATGCACTTAAAAATGGACCTGTTCCAACTTACAAACAAATTCAACTTAAGAACAAACCTACAAAACCTATCTGACTCATAACTTGGGGACTGCCTGTACATTCAGGTCCAATGCATTTCAACAGCTTTTATGACTAATGTTAGGAATGGAGGAATTTTGTAGAGAAGATTTTTGTATTACCAGAGGGTGAGATGTTAGAGCCTCTGCAATCTTTTGAAGGCATGGACAGATCATAATGGGTAAGAACCAAGAGGGTTACACATTACACACCCGAAGAGAAGTGCCAAAAGTAGAAAACTGTGTCATTCAGGGTTAACTTCCTCCTATTTATTCATTGATGAAGCATAAAATAATATCTTTTGAGATATTGCAAGTAGAATCCTGTATCATTTTATATTGTTTTTGTTCACTGTTTGCTTTGTTAATGGTTCTGAAAATATCAAAGCAAACCTTTGAACAAATTGTTTTTAAAAAAAATATTTTTCTTTCACGGCTTCTTTGTGCAGTTGGAACAAGTTCTTCACCCCTGATGTTAAACACCTAAACAGAATGATTATGTGTATGTATGCTGGCTTCAGGGAAACAGTAATACCCCTGATATTCCATGAATGTTTGAAACTTGGAAATGTGACTACAACTCCTGGTACCATTCTATTATCCAGGCGAAGGCCACAAGGGGGCATTAGAGAGGGAAGGCTACCCATTTAGGGAGAGGAGGAGTTGAAGAAGGAAAACCATTTCCCCGTTTTCACTGGTTATTCCCTTTCCCCCCACCTCCTCATATCCTAAACGAGGGTTGCTTCCATGACAGAAACCCACAGAAAACCATATTTAATAAGCCTTGGCACTACAAGAGGGTTTTGCGAGACCAGTCGCTTTTGTTGCAATGGTGTAGTAATGATGAAGTGGCGGACCATATTTTAGTTCTTGTGGATCACAGATGGTCCATGGACCACAGGTTGGAAAGCACTGATTTAGACTATGTGTTCCACCTAGCCCTGTACCAGGCATTCATTTTTCAAGTTAAATCATACTTATAATTATTCCAGGTAAACCATCACCATCATCCCACTTTTCTCTCTTGAATGAGGCCCAAAGTGGCTCACAGCCTTAAAAACAATGCACTTTTAAAAAACTACAACATATAAATATTAAAATAGAATCAAACATACAATTATTGAAACAAGTCCATTAAACAAGTAAAACTGTTAAAATAATTAAATGAGAAAGAGGCACAGAAATCTGTGCTTTTTTACTGCTTGGAGAAGACTCCTGTTTATCACCAAACTTGGACTAGAGATAAAATGGCCATGCCTTCCCACCCTTGTTATCTTCCCTCAGTGGAGAATGTAAATAAGTTGAAAATCCTATTATATCAATTCGGCCCCCTCCCCAATTCCCCAATCTGCATTGTTTTCTCATTAAAAAATCTAATTGGAAAGATAATCTAATTGAGAGCCCTAACTGGGAAGCTCAGCATCTCTCCAGTTATTGGTGGGTGGCGGATGCTGAATGCGGACCCCGAATGCCCGATCACCATCTCCCAAAGCAGTTACTCTCCTTCCAATTCAAGAACAGAAAATGGAATGTTAGTGGACAGGAAAAGAGTGGGTGGAGGTCCAAGGAGGGGACAGAGCATCCACTGGATCCTGCATGGATTAGAGGAGACCCATTCCTCTTTCCTGAGACAGCTTTGCATAACATTACATCTTCACAGGATGGAGTTTCAGCTGGCATCAGCTGGAATCCTTAGTGACAGATAAAGCTCATAGCATATCAGCTTGGTTGGCAACACATTTTGAGCAGGGCCGATAAAGATGAAAGGCCAGCAACATTGTGCCCAGTGAGTCATTCCTTGAGCCTGGCAAATGTCTCATTTGAAACTCATGTGAACAGCAACACAGCTTTTGCTGATACACTTGAATTTCCAATGTACTACATCTCTGTGCATTTGCTCATGAGAGCAAATTCATGTATATAAAAAGGCAAAATCATATTTTTGGATTTTTTTGAATCTATCTATCCATCCGTCTATCTATCTAACAATTACTAGCCATAGATAGTTGCATCTATCAATACAGAGGGCTATAGCACAACTGAAACTTTTATTTTTCAGAGGTGTAGCCACAGTAAATGTTGGAGGACTGATGATTAAGTGTGTCATTCTGCTTTATGTGCTATTGTGCATGTTCAAGGACCTCTTCACATGAGGCAAAATAGTCCCGTTTTGCCACTTTTAGCCAAGACTTGGATGGGGCCTGGCAACCTCCATCAGATGACACAAAGCATCAAAATGTGCTTCCTCCTCCACCATGGGGAGGAAAGATTATTTTATGATGGGGGCAAGGGCAGCGGGGCAACGTGCGTTGCTATCCTTTCTCCCATCTGATGCATTGCCACCATCACCTGGCTATGACTATTTCACATCATTTTAAAAAAAATCTACATGCATTGCACAAATAGCACCTGCAGGTGTCACAAACAGGATGCCACCCTATGAAAGAGACGAAATGCAAACCCCCTCAAAAGAGGACAGAAGAGGTCAAAAAATTGCATAATTCTTCCTAGTAAGTTCTTTTATATGCTAACACATGCAAATTTTGAAAGAACTAAATTTGCATCTGTTAGCGAAGAGGGAGAGAATGTGACCAGTGGAACACATGTGCCTGTTCAGAATCAGATTACTGTTCATGTGCTGTCCGATTTGCCTTCTTAGTTTGAACCAGGCATGGACCAGACAGGACTTCAAACAAAGGACACCTTCCAACTGAAGGCAGTAATCCACCACTCCTTCAAGCAGAGGACTGCATTCCATAAAGCAGCCCACATGGCCACTTGAATCAGACAGACTTGAAGGATTGTAGTTTTAACGTGGCACTTCGGGATGCCCCGTTGTGAAATTAAACAAATGTTTATCCTAACACCATCACATGTTTCCACTGTTCTGCTTTCTTTAGAAATTATCTGCTTGCTGTACCATCACACAAGAGAGATATCTGTCCTCCCACTGTCCCCTCCCCATTTCTTTTTAAAAAGTTTTATTAGATTATGTTGTTGGAAGGCTTTTATGGCCGGAATCACTGGGTTGCTGTGAGTTTTCTGAGCTGTATGGCCATGTTCCGGATGCTTGTTCCAGCAACCCAGTTTTATTAGATTGTTCTTAAATAATTTTGCAGTATATTTTCCTTCCCACCTATTATGTATAAAAATATAGAAGTTTGGCTAGATTTAAGGAAACGCTGGTAAATATTCAATCTTAAAAATAGCATAAAAATGTAAAAAATGGAACCCCCACCTCCCCAATGAAAAAAAATTATTTTCACTTTTGGAACACAAGCTACATTGGGATACCTTTCCTGTGAAAAAGGGGAAGGCAAGAATTGCAAAATAGCGTATTTACAAAATTGCTCAGTTGTGGAAATGGAAAGAACACAATAAATTACTGACCCTTACTCCGTGGTGCTTTGTGTTACCAGAGGAAGAAAAGGAGCATTACTGGCCATTTCTGCAGCACCCACATGTTATCATATTGATTCCCATCCCACATGATATTTGCCAATTTTACCTGTCTCTATGTGAGAAAACCAAAATTAAGTTGCTTGACTTTCAAGTTCTGAATTTTGTTGGTTTAATGAACACTTAGAAAACAGGGACTGAGATGAAACTCATGTAACGTCTATGCATCATCTGATGGGCTCTGTGTGTGACTGTTTCTTAAGTGTTCAGAAATGTGGAAAAACTGTGTGTGAAGAAGTCATAAGTCTCAGATTGAGGATCTATACCAGGGTAGACAACTATGGCCTTCCAGATGTTTTAGACTCAGAATCCCTCATCACTGACTATATTACCAAGGATTGCTGTGAATCGTGGGGCCAAATCTGGATAATCTCAGGGGTTGAGTTATATTGAAATAAGACTGAGGATACATCTGCACTGTATAATTAGTGCAATTTGGCACTAATTTAACTGTCATGGCTCTAAGCTATGGAATCATGGAGTTTGCTGGTGTCTCACCAACTACAACTGCACTGTAATGTGACAGTTAAAGTGGTATCAAACTTCAGTGTGGATGCATCCTGAATTTGAGGCTTCCCTTTTTTAGTCTGTAGTGTGAACCCTCCTGCCCCAGTGTTTTGAGAACTGACCAAATGAAGTCCAACTAAGCCAGTTCTAGGCATTGTCTTAACTAACGTCTCACCCCATAGCTAATATCTGTGGCTCTTGTGTCAACTTACGTAAGTCAGCACAACATTGGCTGTCACATCCCTTTAGCATAGCACAAATATTTGC